CCACAGGGGTCAGTCCTAGGACTAGTGCTGTTTCTGGTATTTGTGAACGACATGACAGAAGGAACAGACTCCGAAGTGTCCCTGTTTGCAGATGACGTGAAGTTGATGAGAATTCATTTGATTGAAGACCAGGCAGAACTACAAAGAGATCTGGACAGGCTGCAGACCTGGTCCAGCAATTGGCTCCTGGAGTTCAACCCCACCAAGTGCAAAGTCATGAAGATTGGGGAAGGGCAAAGAAGACCGCAGACGGAGTACAGTCTAGGGGGCCAGAGACTACAAACATCACTCAAGGAAAAAGATCTTGGGGTGAGTATAACACCAGGCACATCTCCTGAAGCGCACATCAACCAAATAACTGCTGCAGCATATGGGCGCCTAGCAAACCTCAGAACAGCATTCCGACATCTTAATAAGGAATGGTTCAGGACCCTGTACACCGTGTACGTTAGGCCCATATTGGAGTATGCGGCACCAGTTTGGAACCCACACCTAGCCAAGCACGTAAAGAAACTAGAGAAAGTGCAAAGGTTTGCAACAAGACTAGTCCCAGAGCTAAGAGGTATGTCCTACGAGGAGAGGTTAAGGGAAATCAACCTGACGACACTGGAGGACAGGAGAGATAGGGGGGACATGATAACGCCTTACAAAATACTGAGAGGAATTGACAAGGTGGACAAAGACAGAATGTTCCAGAGATGGGACACACCAGCAAGGGGACACAGTTGGAAGTTGAAGACACAGATGAATCACAGGAATGTTAGGAAGTATTTCTTCAGTCACAGAGTAGTCAGGAAGTGGAATAGTTTGGGAAGCGATGTAGTGGAGGCAGGATCCATACATAGCTTTAAGCAGAGGTATGATAAAGCTCACGGTTCAGGGAGAGTGACCTAGTAGCGACCAGTGAAGAGGCAGAGCCAGGAGCTAGGACTCGACCCCTGCAACCTCAACTAGGTGAATAACTAGGTGAGTACACACACACACCCTACCATTACTTCCCCTTGCACTGGGCCGCAGTGATTTCACAAAGGTAGTTTGGGAGGAAATCTGCTGTTTATGGTAAGGGGATCTGACACGATCCCTTTCTTCTTTGGTACTAAGCTTAATCCGATCTTTCAACAGCCCCTGTTCTTGGGCTTGCCATCTCAATTGTTCAGTGGATGTTGCACTGACCTGCCTCCAGGTTGGGCATTCATCTGCACTGCAGTTCATCCGCACTGCCCGTGGTGTCCCTCTCAGCCTGAGACAATGTAGCACTTCCTACTGTGGTGCCACCATTACCACTCTGCACAGACTCTCCTCCATACGGCCTTATACATATTCGAAGTGCAGTCTTTGACCCTACCCCTCCTCAATGGGGAAGGGTTTGACCCTCCAGACTGTCAGCAGATCCGGGGCTGTACCTGTGCCTTCCTGCTGGCTTCAGGGGCATTAGGGATACATAATATATATAACCACTTTGGTCGAGGTTAGGGGCCTTAAATGCGGAAAATTCGAAAGGTCTCCCGGTGTTTCCACGAGGGTGACCCGTTGAGTCGACACACCAAACCCAGCATTTTCGGCATCTTCATCAGGCGGGACATGTGCACCATTTTCTCTCCGCGTGAATAGTAAGGGAGGCGGTCGATCGCCTCCAGAGACGGAATTTTGTTTCTTCTCCAGGCACTGTAAATCAGGACTCGATATAGTGTACGCTCTTAATGACCCTATACACAACAACAACAATGACAGCAAACTACCCTGTACCTCAATCATCCTAAGAAGGTATCCCGGTATTGCATAACACCAGTATCCTGTACCTCAATCATCCCAGTAAGGTATCCCAGTATTGCATAACACCAGTATCCTGTACCTCAATGATCCCAGCAAGGTATCCCAGTATTGCATAACACCAGTACCGTGTACCTCAATGATCCCAGCAAGGTATCCCAGTACTGCATAACACCAGTATCCTGTACCTCAATGATCCCAGCAAGGTATCCCAGTATTGCATAACACCAGTATCCTGTACCTCAGTGATCCCAGCAAGGTATCCCAGTATTGCATAACACCAGTATCCTGTACCTCAATGATCCCTGCAAGGTATCCCAGTATTGCATAACACCAGTATCCTGTCCCTCAATGATCCCAGCAAGGTATCCAGTATTGCATAACACCAGTATCCTGTACCTCAGTGATCCCTGCAAGGTATCCCAGTATTGCATAACACCAGTATCCTGTACCTCAATGATCCCTGCAAGGTATCCCAGTATTGCATAACACCAGTATCCTGTACCTCAATGATCCCAGCAAGGTATCCCAGTATTGCATATCACCAGTATCCTGTACCTCAATGATCCCAGCAAGGTATCCCAGTATTGCATAACACCAGTATCCTGTACCTCAATGATCCCAGCAAGGTATCCCAGTATTGCATAACACCAGTATCCTGTACCTCAATGATCCCAGCAAGGTATCCCAGTATTGCACAACACCAGTATCCTGTACCTCAATGATCCCAGCAAGGTATCCCAGTATTGCATAACACCAGTATCCTGTACCTCAGTGATCCAGCAAGGTATCCCAGTATTGCATAACACCAGTATCTGTACCTCAATGATCCTGCAAGGTATCCCAGTATTGCATATCACCAGTATCCTGTACCTCAGTGATCCCAGCAAGGTATCCCAGTATTGCATATCACCAGTACCGTGTACCTCAATGATCCCAGCAAGGTATCCCAGTATTGCATATCACCAGTACCGTGTACCTCAATGATCCCAGCAAGGTATCCCAGTATTGCATAACACCAGTACCGTGTACCTCAATGATCCCAGCAAGGTATCCCAGTATTGCATATCACCAGTACCGTGTACCTCATGATCCCAGCAAGGTATCCCAGTATTGCATAACACCAGTACCGTGTACCTCAATGATCCCAGCAAGGTATCCCAGTATTGCATATCACCAGTACCGTGTACCTCAATGATCCCAGCAAGGTATCCCAGTATTGCATATCACCAGTACCGTGTACCTCAATGATCCCAGCAAGGTATCCCAGTATTGCATATCACCAGTACTGTGTACCTCAATGATCCCAGCAAGGTATCCCAGTATTGCATATCACCAGTACAGTGTACCTCAATGATCCCAGCAAGGTATCCCAGTATTGCATATCACCAGTACCGTGTACCTCAATGATCCCAGCAAGGTATCCCAGTATTGCATAACACCAGTATCCTTTACCTCAATGATCCCAGCAAGGTATCCCAGTATTGCATATCACCAGTACCGTGTACCTCAATGACCCCAGCAAGGTATCCAGTATTGCATAACACCAGTATCCTGTACCTCAATGATCCCAGCAAGGTATCCCAGTATTGCATATCACCAGTACCGTGTACCTCAATGATCCCAGCAAGGTATCCCAGTATTGCATATCACCAGTACCGTGTACCTCAGTGATCCCAGCAAGGTATCCCAGTATTGCATATCACCAGTACCGTGTACCTCAATGATCCCAGCAAGGTATCCCAGTATTGCATAACACCAGTACCGTGTACCTCAATGCACGTAGGATAGTGCAGAGTGCAGCATAAGTTGATAATGCAGTTAAATATTACACTTGAAGGTTAAATTGTCTTCAAGACCCCTGGTCTTGAAGACAATCAGTGGTCTTGGTTGTCTTGAAGACCAGTGGTTGTCTTCAAGACCCCTGGTCTTGAAGACAATCACTGGTCTTGGTTGTCTTCAAGACCACTGGTTGCCTTCAAGACACCTGACTGCCTTCAAGACCCCTGGCTGTCTTCAAGACCACTGGTTGCCTTCAAGACACCTGACTGCCTTCAAGACCCCTGGCTGTCTTCAAGACCACTGGTTGCCTTCAAGACACCTGACTGCCTACAAGACCACTGGTTGTCTTCAAGACCACTGGTTGTTTTCAAGACCACTGGTTGTTTTCAAGACCACTGGTTGTCTTCAAGACAACTGGTTGTCTTCAAGACCACTGTTGTTTTCAAGACCACTGGTTTTTCAAGACACTGTGCCTTCAAGACCACTGGTGTCTTCAAGACAACTGGTTGTCCTTCAAGACACCTGTTGCTTTCAAGACCCTGGTTGTTTTCAAGACCACTGGTTGTCTTCAAGACCACTGGTTGTCTTCAAGACCACTGGTTGTCTTCAAGACCACTGGTTGTCTTCAAGACCACTGGTTGTCTTCAAGACCACTGGTTGTTTTCAAGACCACTGGTTGTCTTCAAGACCACTGGTTGTCTTCAAGACCACTGGTTGTCTTCAAGACCACTGGTTGTTTTCAAGACCACTGGTTGTCTTCAAGACCACTGGTTGTCTTCAAGACCACTGGTTGTTTTCAAGACCACTGGTTTGGTTTTTTCAAGACCACTGGTTGTCTTCAAGACCACTGGTTGTCTTCAAGACCACTGGTTGTCTTCAAGACCACTGGTTGTCTTCAAGACCACTGGTTGTCTTCAAGACCACTGGTTGTCTTCAAGACCACTGGTTGTTTTCAAGACCACTGGTTGTTTTTAAGACCACTGGTTGTCTTCAAGACCACTGGTTGTTTTCAAGACCACTGGTTGTCTTCAAGACCCCTGGTTGTTTTCAAGACCACTGGTTGTTTTCAAGACCACTGGTTGTTTTCAAGACCACTGGTTGTTTTCAAGACCACTGGTTGTCTTCAAGACCCCTGGTTGCCTTCAAGACCGAGCTGGACAGGCACCTAAAGTCAGTACCCGGCCAGCCGGGCTGTGGTTCCTACATTGGTTTAGGTGCGACCATCAGTAACAGCCGGGTTGCTCAGGTCCTGATCCACCACCAAGCCTGGTCGTGAACCGGAGAGTGGGGGCATTCATCCCCGAAACACCCTCCAGGTAGCTCAACGTAGCAAGCTAGGCACACTTCCAGAAGACAGCCAGTTAATGTCTACGAAGCCTCTAACGGCTTGTGAACTGGCCAGTGACACCACTCTGAAGGTCAGTCAATGTACTAGTACCGTCACTTACCCCAGCAACTGCTTGGTCTTCAGGAGTCTGTTGAAAATGATGGTGTCATTGTTGCAGTAAATGTCACTGTCCTCTTCTACTTCCCTCTGCGACGAGTCTCCGCTGAAGTGCGCCGATGCGCCGCCCTGAAATGCCTGTTGAGCCATAACAAGATGGCTTTCCGTAGGCCTTCCGTAGGCCAAAGGCTCCTCCTCTATCTGGTGAGCTATTCAAGTCACTTATGAGATAGAAAATACTATAACCTTATCTATTGCCCACTGATCTATTGCTTCACGTCACTTGTATGGGTCTATCACAGCACTCAACCAAACGTCTCCACCAGCAGATACAAAAGACATAACTACTACAACGTTCTTGGGTTAACATTAAGACACGTTATCAAAGAGGCAGGAAACACGTCCTGTCAACCAACTCCCTGGTGTTACACTAACCACCTTCACTGCTTTCACATGTATTTCACGTTAATTTCACAGCTTTCACATGTTTTTTCACGTCAATTTCACAGCTTTCACATGTTTTTTCACGTCAATTTCAGTTTTCAGACAGGCACTGTACTTCCCACCACCAGAACTGTAACATCCTCACTCATCCTTCAGAGTACAGGCACTGTACTTCCCACCACCAGAACTGTAACATCCTCACTCATCCTTCAGAGTACAGGCACTGTACTTCCCACATCCATAACTGTAACATCCTCACTCATCCTTCAGAGTACAGATACTGTACTTCCCACCATCAGAACTGTAACATCCTCACTCAGCCTTCAGAGTACAGGCACTGTACTTCCCACCATCAGAACTGTAACATCCTCACTCATCCTTCAGAGTACAGGCACTGTACTTCCCACCATAAGAACTGTAACATCCTCATTCATCCTTCAGAGTACAGGCACTGTACTTCCCACCATCAGAACTGTAACATCCTCACTCATCCTTCAGAGTACAGGTACTGTACTTCCCACCATCAGAACTGTAACATCCTCACTCATCCTTCAGAGTACAGGCACTGTACTTCCCAGCATCAGAACTGTAACATCCTCACTCATCCTTCAGAGTACACACACTGTACTTCCCACCATCAGAACTGTAACATCCTCACTCATCCTTCAGAGTACAGGCACTGTACTTCCCACATCCATAACTGTAACATCCTCACTCATCCTTCAGAGTACAGGCACTGTACTTCCCACCATAAGAACTGTAACATCCTCATTCATCCTTCAGAGTACAGGCACTGTACTTCCCACCATCAGAATTGTAACATCCTCACTCATCCTTCAGAGTACAGGTACTGTACTTCCCACCACCAGAACTGTAACATCCTCACTCATCCTTCAGAGTACAGGCACTGTACTTCCCACCACCAGAACTGTAACATCCTCACACATCCTTCAGAGTACAGGCACTGTACTTCCTACCACCAGAACTGTAACATCCTCACTCATCCTTCAGATTACAGGTACTGTACTTCCCACCATCAGAACTGTAACATCCTCACTCATCCTTCAGAGTACAGGCACTGTACTTCCCACCACCAGAACTGTAACATCCTCACTCATCCTTCAGAGTACAGGCACTGTACTTCCCACCACCAGAACTGTAACATCCTCACTCATCCTTCAGAGTACAGGTGCTGTACTTCCCACCTCCAGAACTATAACATCCTCACTCATCCTTCAGAGTACAGGCACTGTACATCCCACCATCAGAACTGTAACATCCTCACCCATCCTTCAGAGTACAGGCACTGTACTTCCCACCATCAGAGCTGTAACATCCTCACTCATCCTTCAGAGTACAGGTACTGTACTTCCCACCATCAGAACTGTAACATCCTCACTCATCCTTCAGAGTACACGCACTGTACTTCCCTCCACCAGAACTGTAACATCCTCACTCATCCTTCAGAGTACAGGCACTGTACTTCCCACCATCAGAACTGTAACATCCTCACTCATCCTTCAGAGTACAGGCACTGTACTTCCCACCATCAGAACTGTAACATCCTCACTCATCCTTCAGAGTACAGGTACTGTACTTCCCACCATCAGAACTGTAACATCCTCACTCATCCTTCAGAGTACACGCACTGTACTTCCCACCACCAGAACTGTAACATCCTCACTCATCCTTCAGAGTACAGGCACTGTACTTCCCACCACTAGAACTGTAACATCCTCACCCATCCTTCAGAGTACAGGCACTGTACTTCCCACCATCACAACTGCAACATCGTCACTCATCCTTCAGAGTACAGCCACTGTACTTCCCACCACCAGAACTGTAACATACTCACTCATCCTTCAGAGTACAGGTACTGTACTACCCATCTAGAAAACTGTAATATCCTCAATCATCCTTCAGAGTACAGGTACTGTACTTCCCACCTCCAGAACTGTAACATCCTCACTCATCCTTCAGAGTACAGGCACAGTACTATCCACCTCCAGAACTGTAACATCCTCACTCATCCTTCAGAGTACAGGTACTGTACTTCCCACCATCAGAACTGTAACATCCTCACTCATCCTTCAGAGTACAGGCACTGTACTTCCCACCATCAAAACTGTAACATCCTCACTCATCCTTCAGAGTACAGGCACTGTACTTCCCACCATCAGAACTGCAACATCCTCACTCATCCTTCAGAGTACAGGTACTGTACTTCCCACCATCAGAACTGTAACATCCTCACTCATCCTTCAGAGTACAGGCACTGTACTTCCCACCATCAGAACTGTAACATCCTCACTCATCCTTCAGAGTACAGGTACTGTACTTCTCACCATCAGAACTGTAACATCCTCACTCATCCTTCAGAGGACAGGCACTGTACTTCCCACCATCAGAACTGTAACATCCTATCTCATCCTTCAAAGTACATTCACTGTACTTCGCAACATCAGAACTGTAACATCCTCACTCATCCTTCAGAGTACAGGCACAGTACTATCCACCTCCAGAACTGTAACATCCTCACTCATCCTTCAGAGTACAGGTACTGTACTTCTCACCATCATAACTGTAACATCCTCACTCATCCTTCAGAGTAAAGGTATTGTACTTTTGATATACCTTTGACTAGTTTCGAGAGTCTTACTACTCCCAGAGCACGGCCATGGACCAGGCTCATCTGGTTCTTGCCTGGTCAACCAGGCTGTTGGTGCTCGAGACACACTGCACCACATATCGATCAGATATGTGGTGCATACAGGTTGATCTGGCACCTATATGTGGAGTATACCCAGAGAGGGTTTTGGGGGTCAATGCCCAATGTTTTTCTTAATGGAATGTGCCTTGAGCAGATCTCAAGAACTACAGAGTTCATTTTTTTCTAGGCAAAGGTTCGGATCTGAGTTGTTTAGGATATCTTCCCAGCTTGTTTCATTTAGGACATGGATGACTTGTATGTTATTGTTATTGAAATTGAATTTTGTGAAGACACCCTCATGACTGATCACATTTTGCTGGTCAGGAGACCTGTGCATACATGTCTGTACCTCTATTTTGTTGTGATCTGAGCGTACTGTCTTTGATATGGTGAAAATACTTGGCCAGTTTTCTCTTGAAGACCTCTACACTTGTTCAGCCATGTTTCTGATATCTTCTGGTAAGATGTTGAATAATCTGAGGCCATGAATGTTGATAGTGTTCCTGCATTGTGCCCACTGTACCCTAGCTCCTCAATGGGTTTATTTTGCACTTTCTCCCATATCTCTCACTCCAGTACGCTGTCATGGCAGTGTGCAGATTTGGGGCCAGGCCCTCGAGTACTTTCCAGGTATACATTATCATGTATCTCTCCTCTGCTCCAGTAAGAACATGTTTAAGACTTTAAGGCATTTACAGTAATTTAAATGCTTTACTGGCTCCATGTGGGTTATAAACACTCTCTATACAGTGGCCCCTTGATAATCGTCGGGCTCGATAGTCGTCCTTTTCGGAAATCATCACGTTATTTTCGTCCAAACATTGGCTCGCAAATGGTCGGTTGACTCGCTAATCGTCGTTCATCCTGGATGTGTACTCACGGCTCTGAGCTGCCTCGGCCTCCCTTCCCAGCCAGTGTGCGACGGTCCCCTCAACTGTTCATACAAAATATTTCATAATATTCCATTCATTTTAGTGCTTGCAAGTGCTAAATAAGCTACCCTGGCTCCAAAGAAAGCTCCTAGTGCCAAGCCTTTGGTAAAGAAAGTGAGAAATACGATTGAATTTAACAAAAACATCATTGAACAATATGAAAGTGGCGTATGTATAGCCGAACTGGCCAGGATGTATAACAAACCCCATACAACCATTTCTTCCATCGTGGCAAAGAAAAAGGAAATCAAGAAAGCTGTTGCTGCTTGGAGAAAATTGTGGCCAGATTGTGTCCACAAGAGGGATTTTGAAGGGTTTGTGGCTGACCCTGATAAGCCTATGTCAGTTGTGAAATCTATTGTAGCATTGGGGAGTTCCATGGGGTTGGATGTGAGTTTGGAGGATGTGGAAGAGTTGATGGAAGACCACAACGAAGAGCTAACCACTGAGGAGCTGCAAGAGCTTCAGCAGGAAGAGCAAAAGATCGCAGCTCAGAATCTTACTGCAGAAGAGGTGGAAGAGAGATGGAAGAAGGTGCCTTCTTCAGAAATTAAGGAGATTTTTGAAATGTGGGGTAGGATTGGAAAGATTTATGGAGAAACATCACCCTGAGAAGGATGTTGCAAGCCATATCAGCAACTTGTACAGTGACAGTCTTGGCCCATTTTAGGGAAGTTTTAAAGAGACACCAGAAACAGAGCTCTCTGGACAGTTTTTTTGCGAGACAGGACTCCAGTGACTCTCAAGCTGGTCCTAGTGGCATTAAGAAACAGAGAAGAGAAGTATGTAACCCCAGAAAAGGGCTTGGTACCTGAGGTGTTAATGGAAGGGAATTCCCCTTCCAAACAGTAACTAATCCAATCTCTCTCCTCCTCCAGTCTCCCATACACTAAGAAGAATCTCCAATAAAGGTAAGTGTTATGCTGTTAATGTTTCATTCATCATGTCCCATTGTATTGTTTATGTACTACATCTATATTTCATGTAAAAAATTTTTGTTTTTAATACTTCTGGGTGTCAGGAACTGATTAATTGTATTTACATTATTTTTTATAGGGAAAAATTGATTCGAAAATCGTCTATTTCGATAATCGTCGCACTTCCAGGAACAGATTAACGATGATATTTCTCCTGCCTTGAACAGGCCGTCAACAGTGAACAACATCTGAAGTGTCACAATTGACATTATTTCCCTTGATTTCAAGGTTTCATTACTCACTCTGTCATTCTCCTGGCTGTAGTGATCTTTGTCTTATTGTGTTCTTTGAAAAAAGGTCAGATGACATAATTATTTCCAAGTCTTTTACGTGTTCCTTTCGTTCTATTTGGTGATCCTCTTGA